AACTCATGAAGTGCTACATGTACAAGTACCTGCCTCCATTTAATACTGCATCCTTTCCTAATTGAAGCTTTCAAATGCTTTCCATGGGAAGCCCCATGAAGAGCATGTTGCAGTAAACCATGGGAGGTCATGAGGACATGAATGATAGTGAGTAGAGCCTCTCAATCCCAAAATGAATGTAATTGGTGTACAATCCCAAAATATTCAAAGTCTCTTTTAATAATGTCTGCCACCTGCTCTTTCAGCAGGAGCTGTGAATCCAAAAGAACGCCCCATATCACACCAGGGCTAGATCCCACCCATCCAGGACCAAAGGTAAAAAAGCTTGACACCAGAAGTCAAGCAACTATGTTCACATCATGATTGGGTTGAGCCAAAGCAAATGATTGGGACAAGACATATACAGCATCATTCAGGCAGCCTGCGATAAAGATATAAAGGTAGGTACCATCAGCATATTGATGATACTTAACCCTACCGCATTGGATCATCTCTCCCTGTGGCCTCATGTCAATGTTAAAGAAGTGAAGAGGGAAGACCCAGCCATGTGGCACCTCACAAAGGAGGGGGGGCTACAGGTTGGCTCTCTTTCCTGTCTGATCACTACCAATTGGAGTAAGAGGAAGGAGAACCAGAACAACACAGGGCTTCCACTCCTATCTTCCAAAGCCAGTCAGAAAGGATGCCGTGATTGATGACATCAAAGGTCACTGAGAAGTCAAGAAGAGCAATGATGGATGTAGTGCTCCCCTGTCAGAGGTCATCTCAGCCAATGCCATTTCAGTTCCACATGCTAGTCTAAAAGCTTAGGGAACTCCATTGCCAAACCAGCTGCAGTGTCAAGAAACTCAGGCACCAAAATTGCTACACAGCAGGGAAACTGGTATGGTAGCAACAAGCAATCATCTGGAGAACCGATCCCTTTGATTACATAGCTCTAAACTAATTTTCTGTTGGAGGTGTACATTCCAGTACACACTGATTGTTGACTGAAACAATATGTAAGTACGAATCACAAATCATCCATTTACTAGAATGTTAATTTTCTCTCCAGGATAATCTTTGGCAGTCCATGCCAAGTCCAGTGGGATTGTTATTGGGCCAAAAACATTACTGAAGACACATAAGGCTGCATGCTTTGTTTTGCAGCATTCCAGCTTCATTCTTATTTAAAACCTCTAAAAAAAACAAGAAAGAACAATACAAGCAAATAAAAAGGGTGGGAGAGGAACCTGATGAACACCAACCTACTTCTCATAGGATTTATTGGTCCTCTGAGAACCACATTGCCTGTTCCAATTTCTTTTACTGAAGAGTAGTTATTTTCATAGGGACAAGAATAATGATTTATATTGTATTCTAATTAATATGTTGATTGAAGAATGAAACACCATATAGTGTAGGTTTGTACTTTTATATCTATATGCTACATGTGAAGTACTCACTAGCATTTCAATGCATTGCAACCTACTGTATTGTAGGGTATATCTAAAGGAAAATCAGGTTGATGAAAGAAAAAGAATGTATTTACAACATCTACTCTAATACACTTCTATGCTTCCAATAAAATAACAGAGAAAAAAACCCTAGAAAATAATGAGTGAATGAAAATCTATTATGAAAGATCAAATGCCTGATAAGATATGACTTCCCAGCATGACTATGTTTTGCAAGTGATAAGAGAATAGGCAAGAGCACATATCTAAGCATATCTCCCTGGATGGCTGGCACATTTACATCTATACTGACAACAACAGAAGGAAATAGCTAGGCAATAGTCTTTTCAAAATTAAGTGGAGGAAACATTCTGTCTTACTGGCTCTGTTAAATGTTATTTTTTGGCCTAGATTCTTCTTTGGCCCAATTTCTTTTTGGCAGCATTGCTATTCCTTAGTTATTTTGTAGCCTTTTTAAAAAAACTAGGGATGAGCTGAAGCCGCAAAACATTTTTCTGGATTTCTTTCCTCATTCTGTGGTGTTCTTACACTTATGAATAGACCATGAATGGTCACAGTACAGATATAAGATGAGAACCAGTACAATGATAACATAGAACTTGAAATCAGTAAATTATTTCAAATACAGATTTAAAAATCTGTATTTTTGTATTTAAATGTATTTCTAAAACATTAAAAAAAATGTTTTAGAATTTATTTATTTAGGGTGTGCTATTACCACCCTGTTTCCTTGTCCCCAGATGCAGGGTTGGAGAAAGCTAAGGCATATTTTTGCACATCTTATCAAAGGAAATATTTTTTTTTCTGGAAACTGTACTGGCTTTACCCTAGATTTTAGCCAGAAATTTGACTGATGATTTGATAAGCTTCAATCTGCTTTAGGATGGTATAATTTAAATTAGCCAGAATGAAAGTAATCTTCATTCCTATAATCCTTCTTTCCTACAGTTCCCATTTTTTTTCTGTGCACAATTTCATAAATTTCATGCTCTGGAAATTTCTGTCTGACAAGACTAAGTTCTTTTAACACATTTTGCTTGGTATTATCTTATTTTGAAAAGGATAATCTCTCAGATGAAATTTATGGTCTAGGCTTGATTCTGTTTTCCTCATTAATCTGAATAAATCCAAAATTCATCTATAATGTAAGCAAAATTTCAATGTGGAAACATTTCAGTGGTCTAAGTTTTGAATTTGTACACAATTTATAACAGAATACTATAAAATAATCATTATTTTACAAGTTAGCACAACCACTGGAAAATTATAGGACAAGCAACTTGATGACCCCAAACTTTCTGGCTTGGAAGCACAGTTGGGGAAGAGAGAGGGGTTAGTTCCTTCTGAGTGGTAGGCAGACACCTGCCACTTGCTCATGGGGAGCTTAGTACATGCACTCGCCCGCTGCTTGCACTGCCTGGTTCCGAACAGTCCATGGCCCAGTAGTGGGCCATGGCCTGGGGGCTGGGGATCCCTGTTCTAGATGTTTGGAATTTCAATTCAATTAGCATTGTCAATAATCATGTGTTAGAGAACATCTTGAGAGTCTTACGTTATCCACCAATGGAACAAAGGTTACCAGCAAACCAATCATGTTTCTCTACTCGAAATATATATCTAAAGTTTCAGTCTTCTTCACATAAAACTGCTGTGGTTCCCCTAATATTACTTTTTCTAGAGACAAACAGAAGCGATAAGATCTATTGTTCACTATTCTGCATGGTGATAGGTTTCCCGAAAAACTGAATTATTAGGGAATAATACATGGTATTATTAGGGAACACCATGTGTTTGACATTATTTAAAATATGATCTCTGTATCTGCATGTCTATCTATTTTTCTATCTATCATGTCATTACTTTAATACATGAATATGGTTTCATTAATGCAGACACATTTCTAATGTAGAAAAGTGAAAAGTGCTTTTGGGCTCTTGTGATAGACCCATCTGTCTGCTTCCTTTTGTCCTTTCATCATAGGTGAAGATAAGGGAAGCATTTAATAAGCTTTTTACATTTATCATGAACACTAATGGAAGTTTTTGTTTTGTTCAATTTTCATAATGAATGTGCATATGAATTGTTGTTATAGATGCTTAGAGTATATTATGGTAGGATAATTATCATTATTATTATCATAGGAGAAAGCGAGATAGGCAGATGGAGTTCTCAGAGCATACTTCCAGTGAACCATCTCTCTTTCCAAAAAGAGTTTTGTTTTTTAGCCAAGGCCATTTCTTTTCTATAAGATTTTTTGGCCTCTCAGGGCACATATTGATTATGAGTGATCATGTGATGCATCACCAATGTTAGCAGGATCAAAATATTATAGTTGATAAAAATCCCATACTTTTAAGATATTTTTTCATCTTTTGGGGGCAAAGATTGGAGCTCTAAAGGCAAAATATTTCAACAACAATCTCAAAAACTAAAACCATACACAAAAGTCAAATTTCAAATGCCAGGGTGCAATCTACAATTGCCTAGAAGCCATTGAAAGAGAATTGAAGGGCAGAGACTACATTTCTTGTGGAATGACCATCCTATTTTAAATATCTTTCCCAGCCTTGTAAAACTATGGTTATGCATCTTTGGGCCATTTACCGTAATAAGTTTTTTAAGACTATCTAAAGCATTCTGAAATATGTGAAGCACAAATGTTCAAAAATATCCCCCCCAAATAGTCATAATTATTTATTTATTTAAATAAGTAAATTGAAATAAATAAATAAATAAGTCTAGAAGAAAGAAAATTAAACATTTATTTATTTATTTAAATTTAATATTTATTTAATTTTCTTCCTTCTAGAGTTAACATTTTACGACAAAATTAGCCTGATGTGTAAAATTTTCATGAGAATGAAATTTTACAAATTCTGAGCATGGTAGGAAACTTGTGACTTTGCATATTTCAGACATACTAAAATAAACAATGTAAACTTATTTCCTTGAAGTGTTACAATGCCCTTTCCAAGACAATCAAGCATTGACATATTAAAACAGCAACTAAACTGTCACTTGGCTGAACTTGCACTCAGTTTCTACTAACATTTTCTCTCTGAATAAAAAAAAAGCATGTAAAAAGGCAGAAAGAAACAAGAAATCAACTTGTTTTCTATGTTAAAATATAGCATACATCATTTAAAGAGACAAATGCTGTAGATAAGAAAAAATTTTGTCACCAGAAAATAAGGCCTTTCCTTTTTCTACCACTAAAGTTGGTTTCTTTATTGCTATAATGTTTTGGTAATATAAAAGATACTGGCTATCTTTTATTAGGCAAAAAGAGATGGTAATATACAAATCCAAACACAGAGAATACTTGGTATGGCCAGATCTACAAATGTCTTTGTAACATGATCAATCCAACTAACTTTAAAAAAAAAACATGTTTCTGAAATATTTATAATATACAGTAAGACAATAAAAGCCATTTGATGCTTTTAAACGTTTGTTCAAAATCATGTTCTGAAATATTTATAAATGACATGTAAGAGAATAAGAGCCATTTAAAACATAGAGGTACCAACCATGGCTTCCTACCTGTTGGGGTGAGATGCCTCCAGGTGATGACAGGTTCAGGACGTCCATTTGCCATACACACTAAGGTCACATTACTTCCTTCATTCACAGTGACATCTGAAGATATGTTGGAGATCTTTGGTGGAACTGCAGGAACAAAAATGGTTGGTCAGAGTTGGCCTTAAGTTGATCCAAAATGACAGAAAATGTGTTAAAGATACCATTCTGAATCCTGCTGGTACAAATAAACAGGAACAGAGTTTACAAATGGCACAGAAACATAATTTATGCCTTACTGAATGAACCATAATTGTTTGCTTGTTTGTTTGTTTTACAGCAATTAAATTAAAATTAGTTAAACCATATTATGGCTTAAGGCATGTTGAATGAATCACACCATGTTGTCCTACATTTCGGTCTCTTGCAGAGCTCCTCACAAGTTTTACTTAATTTGCTGGCTTTTTATATGTTAGCTCAAAATAATTTATGCTAACTATGCTTACTCTACTAAAGGTAGAGCTAGCTTTCAGTTTAGCTGAACACAAGGACTGAGGTTCACACATTGCAATAAGTTATAATTTAAAAAACACAATGGATTTTAAGTCAGCACCAAATCATGTTACTGAATGGAGTATGGGGACCTGATACATGGGCCTGAGCACTTTTATGTCTAATTTAACTATCTTTCTACAAATGAAATCAAAGTATCTGCTAGAATGAATATAATAACAGTATCCATATTTAAGAGATTTAACCAGATCAGTCTTGCTATTTTCATTATGGTTGCATTGTCTTCAGGAGTTTGCTGTGAAATATCTCACAGAGTGAATATCCTCATGTTTTAGTTTTAGTTTTCACTTCAAGAGTCCTTATGATTTTCTAAATAATAGTGGAATATTGAATCAAATGAAAACTGATGCAATACAATATATTTCTATGGCCAAGTATATTATTATATTTGGCTGTAGCAATATAGCTGGGTAACAAAAATGTATACAATGTCATTGCTCTTGCTGTTGTCAGAATTATGAATCAATTTATAGAGCTCTGAAGACGCAATGATTAATTCTAATCAGTATGCAGCCCAAAATAACATTGTAGAATCATCTTAAATAGTATTTTTTAAGATGAGATATATAAGAAAGAAACAGATCAACCTAATGCTCTCTAGATATTTTGGATCATAACCCCACAGTCACTGACACTGCCAATGCTGCAGATGGTTCTGGTAATTTAATTCATAATATTTGGAGTACATGGGACTATTTATACTAGTCTCTTGCACTTGAAAATTTATTGGGTAATGATTTGTCTGCTGTTTTCTGACTCAAGCTAGGTTCATTGAATTTTATTTGGGTGGATAAAAACCTGAGACAAACACTAGGAATTAATTTGAAAAGCAAGAATCAAAGAAATGGTAAATGTGATGAGATGGATTTAATTTATTATATTTTTATACAATTTCATACAATTGTACTTTCAAAAGATCTTTTAAGTTCTTTCATTGCCTGAAAGATACTTAAAATCCATCTGAGCATTAAAATGGGACCAAGTTTATGTGGGAATTTTTTTTGCATATCTTCCATAAAATTCAATGGTTATTTTCCATTAAAATGGTTGTTCACCTAGAAGTACCATATAAAAAACATAGGTATTAATATATTAATAAAACAATTGTATTAATATCCCATGTCCTAAGAAGTTCATTTCTTCCATGTATACATTTTAAAGATCATGTTTCTTGTTTCATCGGGAAACCTCTGCTCACACTGTGTATTTAAAGCTGCATTTGCATTAAGCTCAGAGATAAAAACATCCTTCTATCCAGGAGTGGGATTCAAATTTTTTAACAACCGGTTCTGTGGGTGTGGCTTAGTTGGTGGGCGTGGCTTGGTGGTCATGTGACTGGGTGAGCATGGCTTGGTGGTCATTTTATTGGCTGGGTGTGGCCAACTAAATATCACTAACATCGAGGCATGCATCTCCTCGCCTGGCCTCTCATGACTGTGGGGATGCTGCAACAGTCGTAAGTGTGAAAAATGGTCATAAGTCACTTTTTTCAGTGCCATTGTAACTTTGAATGGTCACTCCACACAAGCAAAGTACCAGCAAAGGAGGGAAAAAACCCTCCAGAGACGTTCCTGAGATAGGAAGTCTAGTCCTGCCAAGAATGTAATAAGGGTTAACGGAGAGGCAGTTTCTGTAAGCAACACCAGAATGTTTCCTTCCTGCCTTCCTTACAGGATTAGGCCAGTAATTTCTTCTAACGGGTTCTCCGAACTGCTTAGAATGTTAACACCCAGTTCTAGCGAATAGGTGCGAACTGGTAGAATCCTACCCCTGCTTCTATCCCTTTCATTCCAGAAAAGAGAAGACTAACCTCATTCATTGTACATAATTCAAGAGCAGGGGCCAAAAAGGAAAAACTGTCACAGAACACAGCAACCAGGATTAAGCAAATGACAGAATTATTCAAAAGGATTATTTCAGTTTTGAATGTGTGTATTAGTTGTGCTTTGTAAACTCCAATGCTTCAAGTAAAATAGAGACATAACCATACATTCCTATTGTAAAGATTAATATTGAAGTTTTGTTGTCTTATTAAGAGTGTAACAAAGTTCTACTTTACTGAATATAGTCTACTGAAGCTGAATTCAAAGCAATGAATTCAAAGCAAGATCCACAATATTGTTTATTTAAATGTGTCAGTTTTTTAAGTGCATCTCCACAGTTCACTCTAAATTTAATTAAAGATCAAGAACTATAAACAGAAGAGACCAAGGAACTTATCATGCCATATTTTGACAGGGCATAAAAAGGCATACACTTCTCACAATGCTAAAAATGTTCTATTTCTGATTAAGCCATAATAATTTGTGTATTTGCATAAAAATATTAATCAATACACTTAAAAATATGATACAACTCTACTTTATAATTTTATCATCTTTTTCAGTGATGCCTTCCTTCTTGCTGAATGTTATGATGCTGATGGTTCTTTCTAATCTACTATTATGCTATATTAATTTAGCCTTGAATTTGCCTCTCCCTTTATTTTTTCTCCTCCCTCCTTGATTTTTTAAAGAGAGCATTTGTTACTTTAAATAACTAGGTTTTTTTTTTAATTTAAATAAACATTATACAAGATATAGGCATGAATTTTTCCTGAAAGTCAAAATTGTAGATATGGGGTGGAAACAAAACAAATAATAAGACATCAAAAGAAAGGGACAGATGATGAGAAGATAGGTAGGCAGAAAACTGATTTTGAAAAATCAGAAAATAAGCACAGTCCCTGAAAAATTACAGATGTTTAAATGTATGCAGTATCTTCAAAATAAAACTTGTTTATTACTTGGAATTCAGTTCATATGAAGCAATGAACCATTATCTCTGAATAAAGATGAATGTATCTGGACTATAAGCTAGAAGGGCTCTTGATTTACTCATACCTGGAATCCCTTCATAGGTACTGAACCGTCCAAAAAACATGGGAATTTCCTTCCTCCCTTCCTCCCTCCCTCCCTCTCTCCTCCTTCCCTCCCTCCCTCCTCTTAGAGCCTTCCAGAACTGGTGGGACTAAACTTTTTGGAAGAAAAATGGAATTTGGGATCAAGGAATAAAACTGTGAAAATTGGAAATTTAGTATCTTTTAAAAAATGCCTCAAAGTTTGCAACACACATCTACTCTGATTTCCAGTGCTTATGTATCTCTTAAAATAAAGAAAAAAGGTGTAATATTTGTCCTCTAGCAGTAGAGGGTGCTGAAATACTGAAAAAAAAAATCATTTCACCCTCTGCTGATGAAGGGAAAAAATGCATCTATTTTTAAAGATGGAAGAAATTGTTATCACCCACCTCCCTCACACAGATATGAATAAAACATTTAAAATGTAAGTTAAATATTAATAATAAAACTAAACAAATGTCACATAAAACCTGATGGGGCCCTTAAGCTGATAACAACACATCAGAGTAAAAATGTTGTGAAGGACAAAAGCCAGGAACTTCTTCCATCATTCCAGTCTATCGACAACCATAATAAAGCAGTTTGGCACCCACCAATTCTTCCCCCTTAATACACCAGCTATGCTTTAAGTAGCCTTCAGGATTTGTTAAGGAATTGTTTTGTCTCTTTGTCCACTATTTTCTCTTCAAGACTTCACATTATAAGGGAATTCACTGAGGGTCAAACTGCTCTTAAGTGAGTGGATATTTTATTGAACCGCCAGTATCCATTTCATTTTACAGTAAATGTTTTGCAAGACAGGAATGTTGGGTGGAAGGCCTTTGATCCTTGTCAATTCTATTATTCTACAAAATACTTTCTTGCATATAGGTCAGAAATAACCATCTGTAATGCACACAACTGTATAGTTTGTGTTTCAATGAGATCTCAAGGTTTATATCAGTGTTAACACAACCTAAGACATTGTACCATAACATCCCCTCAATACCGAATTATAATAATTTGACAAAATGCAGCGTAATAAAAACTGATGTAAACAATGCATTCATATAAGGTGAAATGAATTAATGGACTTTTCTGTTTTTCTCTTCCTCTCCACCACAATACCATTTGTTCATTTCTCCATGTCAGAAGCTCAGGCATTTGCTCATGGGAGACAGATAAAAGGTAGAAAATGAATTGTCTGTAGCTAAATAACTGAGTTATTAACACATGTTAAATAAAAGATGGCTACCTAGCTTTTAAAAAACAGGGCTTTGTATAAACTTCCAACAACACTATGTGTCATCCATAGTCCAGGTAATATTCCAAGCCTTGTTTTTTTTGGGAAAAAAAAAGAGACAAAAAATGGCATGGAAGACCCTAGAATTGGCATACAATATGGAAGCAAATTTGAGGCTCTGCCTTAAAAACTAGATTTACTGGGAATAAAGGAGTGAAGAAATGATCTGTAAACTCATAAAGGCCACATCTTTTCTGAACAAGGACACTAATATCATTTCCTGACTTAATAAATGTAAAATATTCTCAACTATTCATGATTAGGTTAATTGGAGCCAAATGTTGGTGCTTCTGATCATCTCTTTCATTCTCCATTTGTACTTATACATCTAGTGCTGTATCACCCATGCAAACCATTGTTCCATTTCTCTTCTGCTTTGATAACTTTATTTAAACA